TGATAAGCATTTTTTTCATTATTGATAAAGTTTTCAGAAAATGTTAGGTCTTCTGACAGTTTTTGAAAACTTTTTAACACTGTCGAACAAAAATTTTAGTTCTAAAATATAGTAAGAGTTCAACTAGTGAGAGTAAACGCAACCGGTTTTTCCGAAAGCTCCGAAACGACGGTCAAAAATTCAACAAGTTTTTTCCGAAATCTATTTTTTTTCTGAAAAGCAGGACGTGGCCGCAAAATTAGACAAACGTTCCATACCCTGGTTTCTCGACAGATCTTTTAACCTGAGAACACGGTAGTTTTCAAACAAAAACAAAATTTTTCCAAAATTATGTCACAGCTTCGAACATATGACTTGTTTGAAGACTATAACTTTTTTTTCAATTTTTTTTCCATACTTTTTCCATTTTTCGGCTCAGTCTTGCCTCCTTTTTGGACCCACTGCCCTGCTTTTCTCCGTTGTACCGAAAGTGCTGCAAAACTTCGCTCTGCCTGTTATTTCAGTTTTCAAAAATCTGTTTCTTTTTATTTAGTTTTTTCCGATTCAAATTCGATTCGATAGCTTTCAATGCTGCTTTTGCCTTGTGACTTCTGGCTTAGTTTTTGCCCACTAGCTTGCCGTGTTTGGTTTGTGATCTATCGCAGGTGGTGCGAAATATTTTAAATCCTTAATTTATTGGAATTTTTTTCCTTAGCTAAAATTTTTTCATCTTTCTAATTTTTTTAATTTCATGCACGATAAAAATGTCTTTGTAGGTGTTAGTTATGAATGAATATAAATACGTCAACTGGATGCAAATGAAAGAACTGGTGTTAGATGACAGTTTGATGCAGATCACTGGAATGGCTGAAACATCATTTTTTGTAAGTTTCTGTGTTTTGGGTCGTCCAGCTCACGTACAGGTTTGTTTTTTGTTTGAGCCCCTCGCCCAGTTACTGGTTCCCATAGGATAAGGTTAAGGAACTTGTTGCTCTCTCAAGAGTTGAGAAGATTTTCTTGCAGAAAATGTACAATTTGAGCTTCAAACCTCTAAAGTACTGCAATTTTTCTCAAGTTTTCTTCTCTGTTCAGAGATTGCACGTTTTATGGGATGGGCTTTGACGTAATTTTTGCCTGACTTCATTTTAAAAAGTGGTAATCATACAATTTTCATAAATGACAAACTTTTAGTCATACAATTTTCATATATGGGAAACTTCTAATTTTACAATTTCCATATATGGGAAAATGTTTATCATAGAGATTTCATACAATTTTCTGTACGTATGGAATTGTATGGAATTGTATGACAAGAAGTTTCTCATATATGGAAATTGTATGATTAGAAGTTTTGGTCAACCCGGGATTATAATCGATTATTTTCGTAAAAACACAATCCATTAAAATCCATGATTTTAACGGATTATAATCTTTACTTTTTTGCGAAATCAAACAATTGTTTGCAACATATCTGCGTTAGTCACGGCCTACTCACAATCTAAACCCCCCTCTGCGTTTTGCCCCCATCCGCATTACCCAAATCCTCTCCCCACTCCCCTACGCCCAACTCCATCTTTACTAAAGGTTACCCCCCCCCCCAAACCTCGCCTCAAGTTACAGTTTACCAAGCCCCCCTTTTTGTTTACCATTGAGCGGGGACGGGAGGGAAGTGACTCGGTTGTTCCACCCCCCCCCCCCCCATTTTTACCCCGCCCATTTTTTCCCCGCTAAAGGTTTAAAAGTTTTGAAAATGCCATTTTGACGAACTCATTGAACGATGAACCTTTGAACTTTTAATTGATTTATTTGCCAGCCGGATCACCGGGCCATTTTGGTCCACTTCAAATCAAGCAAACACTTTTTAATTTTTTTACAGTAACTTGATCTGATTCCCTAATTGGTAGCTTGAATTAGTTCCTAAAAATTGAAAAATTTTGAAAGAACTTACTGAAGCAATGGAATTTTAGCATTATGAAGACAAACTACGCACTGGATGCGCGCATAATTTGTTGTCTGTAAGTAAGTGAAATCCAGAGACAAGTCGTTAAATAAGTGAAAATTATGTCGTTACGATCAAAATAAACAAAAGATCATAAAAATGTCAAAGATGTCGGTCTTAATGCGGAATCCGTTCACAATTCATAAAAAAGCACAACTTGCCCGCACAATCAGCATTTTATAAAATTGCTGTGATGGGTTGCATTACTTCTCAAAAATTACTTTTTTTCTTTCATAACTGGAAGAAATAAAATTTAGAAATAATTTGAATCAGTTTGACTGTTTGAAATGTTTCGTTAGAAACTGAAATTTTTCAAGATAAAACGATATGTTTGACGTTTGTTAGATACCTTAACTCGCAGATTTTTTGGAATGCTTCGTCATTTTGGAATATTTGGATTCTCTTATTAATTTTAATTTGGACCACAGAGAGAGATTCAAGAAAATTTAGGCAATAGCTTTAAATAATGGAATTTTTTATTAATTTTCTTTTTGAAAATCTAGTTTTCAGTAGAATCACAGGCTACATCTTAAAGTCTTTTAAAACTGAAGAGAGTCGAAAAATGTCGAATTAAGTCGAACAATCTATTGTAAAAGGTCAACAAAATTCTTGGTGAGAACACCTCAGCCTTGGTTAGACAAGATTATGAAACTAGTATCAGGAGTACATAGCACGCAAGACACAAGACATCATATTTTACCATTGATAATGCTGCTTATGGCGCCTCCACCATGGGGCTAATGAAAAAATCTGGACTTGCGGCTGATGTAGCGAGTCTTCTTTCGACATGCTCGTGCTTCCATTGCAACTCTAGTCACAGACCAACATGCCACAGTAGAAGATGTCATTGCCTTTCGCTCTATTCCTCTGTGTTCTCCCTTGCAAACATTTCACCGCTTTGTTTCATAGTTGTCAATAAAGTCTACTTGTCTATTTGTGAAAGAAAAGCTGAAGTCCTTAAGCTGCGATGCATTTTTAGGGATCACTAAGTCGAGAAGATTGTCGCTCACAGTTCTTCCTGTTTATGTTCTGCCATGTATTTGGCGCGAGAACAACTCAAAGGCTTGAGTTTTGCCTTCTAGAACTTAACACTATAGTGCCTTTCAAGTCAACTAGTTGTTGAACAGCTGATAGAAGCAATTGAGTTGATAGAACCGTCTCGGCTGTGCACGAAAAACAACATATCTTGAGAAACTTTTGCGAAATTTTGTTAAACTGTAAGAATAAACTTACTTCAGCGAAAAATTCATTTTTTCACGTTTTAATGCCACCATAGCTATGGTGGTATTAAAAGTTGAAAAACAAATTCCAAACACAAGCTAGTATATTGTTGTATTTTTTAGAGACTGCAAAGTTTAAAGGTGGGTGCTGAATCTAATTGCATCTAATAAAAAAACCAAAAGTTGCCAGTAATTTAATTGCTTATCATTCAGTTCAACGGTATGGAATAAATGTTTGTAATGTAGTTTCATTGTATTGAAAAAAATTATCACGCTATTCGTTATAAAAATTTTTGGGTTCATCGAAATAAATGCAATGACTTGCATGGACATGCATTCTGATACGTTTTTTTTCCAATCCGGGCTACTTATAAATTGCTCGCAAAAGTTTTAAAAAAGCAAAATTGCATTTACGTTTTAAATTTGTTTTGAAGTTTCTGCAAATCATTAGTTTGAGTTGATGGTTTTCGCAAAACTGGTTATTTTTTATTACGAGGCCAATTCGTGCACTAGATAGGCGCACAATTTAGTGTGTTTTGGTCTTTGGAATCTAGAGACAAGTCTTAAAAAAAGTTGAAATTTTGTCGGAGCGCTCAAAGAAAAGATACGAATTCATAACACAATACTCTTTAGGGTCACTTTGGATGGTGAGAGGGTCGATTTCTTTTCAAATTTATATTTAAAATCACAATATTATTCTAATTACTACTTTTTAAAAACTAGAGCTACCTAAAAAGAAGAGCTAAATGGAGATTGTCAACTAAACTCATTCAAATTAATTACACTGCTTAAACAATTTTTATCACCATTATCAAAAACTGAATTTACATTTAAATAATCATGCTGTAATTGAAAAAGAGCTAGCGATCTTAAATTTTAAATTTCTATTTTAGAAGGCTGATATTTTTTCCATAATTTGACATTGTATAATGTATCATCTAGCATCTCCTAATTGAATAATGGTTTCAAACTTGTCTGTTGACAATGTCAGATTAAGAAAACTTCATCCGTTCTCTAGAGGTCCAATTTTCAAACTTTACATTCGGCAAATCTTGTTTCAATAAACGAACAGTTATTTAAAAATAGCATGACATTTCAATTTTGACCATTTTGATAAAAATTTATATAAAATGCGAGAAACTCAAATTGTTTATTTCTAAAATTACCAAAAAAACTAGTCTCAAAATTTTTTTAGTCGCATTCATCTTTGTATGATTTGTGAGTGCATTTTTGTCAAATGTTTGCCTTAAACATGTTGATTCGATATAGTTGTTCTAACCATTAAAAAGGGAGAAGAGCTTTGTGTTGGGGTGTGTTCTATTGTTTTTTTCTATTTTCCAAGCAAAATTAGGTAGCACAATAAATCATCGGAATGGGTCAACTAATATGCCATTTGAAAGCTCTTTTAGTCGTGGCTCGAAGGAAATGAGAAAAACAGGCAGAAAATTTTTGATCGATACTTGAGCAAACAAGGTGAGCGAGCAGACCTATTTTATTTGTCAAATAAAATCATCTACCAAAAAGGACTACATCATCCTAATGGGTGGAGTGATTCATTGTACTAAAATATTTCCAGTCCTGGCTCGAACAAAGGTTAAAAATTTTCAAAAAAATGTTTGTTACAGTTTCGAGAGAAACCGATCTCAAGTTTTTCAGTTTTTGTCAAATTTCGTGTGAAGAAAGCAAGCAAGCATGCTTATTATAGCAGGATAAGCAAAAAAACTTAATATATATTCCAGTGCCTTTTTGGCGCCATTTGCGGCAAAAAAACGGTTTTCATTTTAGGAAGATTCTTGAGGCACCAAATTCTCGGCAGGACCTCGAGGCACGTCTCCGTCGTTGGATTTTTGGTACTCCATCGTCGGGACTCCATCGTCGGCAACATCTCGAGGCACACCTTTGTCAGCGGAATCTCGAGGCACTACAGCATTGGAGGGATCACGGACAGATTGAGTCATCGACAGGTTATACTGGCAAATCATTTTTGATCGATACTTGAGCAAACAAGGTGAGCGAGCAGACCTATTTTATTTGTCAAATAAAATCATCTACCAAAAAGGACTACATCATCCTAATGGGTGGAGTGATTCATTGTACTAAAATATTTCCAGTCCTGGCTCGAACAAAGGTTAAAAATTTTCAAAAAAATGTTTGTTACAGTTTCGAGAGAAACCGATCTCAAGTTTTTCAGTTTTTGGAAGATTCTTGAGGCACCAAATTCTCGGCAGGTCCTCGAGGCACGTCTCCGTCGTTGGATTTTTGATACTCCATCGTCGGCACTCCATCGTCGGCAACATCTCGAGGCAAACCTTTGTCAGCGGAATCTCGAGGCACTACAGCATTGGAGGGATCACGGACAGATTGAGTCATCGACAGGTTATACTGGCAAATCATTGTCGCAGAATTTTGAAGCGATCCATCATCGGAAAAGTCTCAATGCACACCTTCGTCGGCAATTTTTGTAGGCAGCCCAGTGTCGTTAGAATCTCGAGGCACCCGTCGTCGACAGAGTCACGCGACATCTCATCACCGGAAGGTTCTCAAAGCACTCTTTCATCCTCAGGACTTTGTGGCACCACGTCGTTGGCAGAATCAAAAGGCACTCTATTGTCGGTAGCCTTTCGAGGCTCATCTTTGTTTTCAGAATCTTAAGGCACCTCTTAGTCGGCAGAGTTTCGAGGCACCCTATCGTCGGCAAAGTCTTGTGGCACCAACATCAATGGAACTGCGAAGCACCACATCGTAGGGAGAATCTGTAAGCACCCTTTGTCAATGGAAACTCGACGCACCCCTTCATCGGCAGATTTTAGAGTTACTGTATTGTCGGCAGCTTTTCGAGGAACCCCTCGCAGGCATCTCGATTCCCCTGAAACCTTTGGTGAAACTTCGAGGAATCACATCGTCTGCAACATTCGACGCTGCTTTGTCAGCAGAATCTTTAGGCAACATGTCGTTGACAGAATCTCGAGGCGTTCGCATCGTCGGAGGAAAAATTCCTCATCATCAGTTTCGGGCACAAGAAGCTTTCAGGAAAAATTGAGGCTATCCAAAGTGTAAAGCAAAATCTTTTGACTGCATAATTTGGATAACGAAAACTTTTGTGTGACGATTTTGCTTAGGAAACAATTTTTATTTACTATACAAAATTTTAACCCAAAATTTCCGTTACCCCAAATTCTATAGCTCAAAACATTTTGCTCGAAATCTTCAGTAGACTCTCAACACATTTTTTTCTCAGCAATTCTCAAGCTAAAAAAAATATACTAATAAATCTTTGTGTAGCAAAAATTAGATGGTCATCCTTTTTCCGAAAAAAAATCTAACATCTAAAATCCAAAATCTAACAAGCGTTTCAAAACATAACAAGTCATTGTTCAAATTTAAGTCGTTAGCATTTGCTTCACCCGCTCTTCTACAAATAAGCTCTAGGTCAACAAGAGTAAACGAACCTCAATGTTATCCCTCTGAGTAGTAACCACAAGTAACCTAATCCGACTTTCAGCAAACCATTAGAAAGCAAAAAACGCTAGATTTACACGACAAAAAAAAGATACTACAACATATCTAGTGAACATCTTCGACACAATTTGCCTACGATTTTTCGATTCCTTTAGTCTGATGAAGAGATAATTTTCCGACTTTTGTCACAAGGGCTCTCATGAAGCCAACATTACAACTACTACTCAACCAATTGAGACACATTGTCAGTTCGAGGAGCTTGAGGACAAAGTAACAAGGCAAATAGCCGGCTGAATTGTAACCAAATACGTTTGGCTAAGGTTCAAGGAGGTAAACTCTTGTTCCGAAATCCTGGATAAATTCGCTGAAGTTTTGGCTAATTTTTATTTTTCTTCTAGTAGAATATGACTGTTTCGACATTGTGGAACCTGATCTAAACTACATTTTATAATTGGATAAATTGGATATTTTACCACTGTAAAATATTTAATATTAACCAATCATAATCCATCTAACTAACAACCCACTTATTTGTAAGTGCTGAAATTACTTGTAATTTCAGCACCAGAGAGATTTGAATTTAACTTAGAACTTAGTTGCCTCTCCAAGAGAACTTCAGCAGTTGCAATAAGCCAGTATACTCTAGATCTATTGAGCCTAGCAGAGACTAGTTAAACACCCTGAGACTAGTAGATATAAGAGTAAGATTAGAATCGGTATTAGACTCAGAAGTTGCACGAATCTATCCGGCCGAAAATAAGATAACGTGACGAGCAGACGGTGTACTCTATCCGAAATTACTCTATGAGTGAACCACATCAGTCATAACTCATCTGGTGCGACCATAAATCTCGAATAAGACCTTAATAGCTTAGAATTAACTAAATATAGATTAGAATTTAGACAAAACATTTTCAAAATGTTACACGATAATATTTTAATTGAAATGTCTCTACGACTCAATAGATCAGAGCCGATATTCCGAACAATACTAGAACTACCCGGTATTGGAAGAAGACCTCGGACAAGAGACGATATACGACCACGTAGAAACCATTTAGTTTTATGGTTGTACGGCAAAAGCCAACACAAACTTTTATATTTAGAATCTTATTAGCAATGAATTTAGACTTTCATTTGCAAACATAAAATTTTGAAGTAAATCTTCATGACCATTTCAGGCGCTAAACAAAATTATTAATGTACAATAACGATTGATAAAAAGATCTCAGATCGTTTTCCTAATTTCTGCAATATTATATAAAACATATTTGTAAAACATTTATTGAAAAAAAAATAAAAATTAGTAGCATGACAATAAATAGTTAGAAATCATAAATCATCTTGTTGTTCCAGCTTCATCACCTAAACATAACAGCAATCATAAGCTCACTAATATTATTGAAAAACTAAATCTTTTTATTAAATAAATTTAAACCATTTTAAACTTAAATTCACTTAACTTAAAAATCAGATCATCAAGGCTTATCCTTGGATCTTTATAAATTTTCTGTATCACTAAATTTAAAATCTGATCATCAAGGCCTATCTTTGGATCAAAATGAACAATTTTGTTATCCCCCACCCACTTAGCAAGTGTCTAACGACCTCAAACGTCGATTCACTATCCAACCTTTTCAAAAGACCCAGGACTAATAGAAAATTTTAAACAAAACTAACCATTCAAATTAAGATAAACAGTGAAGAACTTCGGTTATTCATCCTTCACATGAACCCTCCTCTTACCAGACCCAAGATAGATCTTAGACTTAGTAAGTTTAAAATAGTATCTAACGAACTGCTTTTGTTCTAATTATACCTGAACCTTGTGGATCGATTTACTATTCTCCAACCCTTGAACACAATCATTACCCCTACGTAAGATTAAGTAAGTTAACACCTTAACTTAGACTAGCCACGAGAAAGTAGAAAATCATTCTCCGGAATCGATATGGTTTTCTCTCCAACCCTGAACAAAAAGACCCAGGTTAAGCTAACCAAAAAATCGTAAGGACTAACAGTCTAGGAAAATAGAAAAACCAACAACTTCTTGCATCCCTCATCCTAAACCTTATGTCATTCAAAAATTTTGGGAAATAAACAAACAATCGTTTTACACAATTGTGAAATAGATAACCAAAAAAATCTGATCTTGTAATCACTCCTCATGCACAAACAGTTGGATACATTAGAAGAAAACGACAAACAATAAAAAAAAATTGTAAACAAAAAAGACAAATCACACGAAAAAGATTTTCAAAAAATAGAAACGCAATTTCTGAATCAGAAGCCAACAGTTTAGACAAAATATACAAATTAAAAGAATCAATAGATAAAAATTGTCCCATTCATGATCAATTATATTTTTCCGACTCAGAAACAACTTCAAATTCATCAAAAAGAGGAAAAAGAAGAATAAAAAAGCAATATCAACACAAATCAGTACACTTGTATAATTGGAATCAACCAATTAGACACATTGATAGTTATTTTTTAACATTCATCAGACAAAAAAATGAGCGAAAGTGACGAAAGTCCAGATGAAGAAGCAGTTTTTCCCTTTCTTATAGATTCACTCGATGATAGAGGACAAACACGATTTTGTAAAAACTTACTCGTAAATTTGTTTGAACCAGGAATCAGTCCATGCAAAGCAGAATTCCCGGATGTAAAAACCAAAAGACAAATTATTGAACATTATTTGAAAGACATATGTAATCTAACACAACAATACGGAATCTACACCATAGAATTCAGCACACCAAACACAGCCCATGGTAAAAACGTAATTCAAACAGACGTTATTGAATTAGAATTTTCAAAAGTATTCATAGAATATATCAAAAGCATACAATATCATAATTCACAAAGAGCAAACTCCATATTCACTAACGAAGTTTTTGCATTAATATATACTTATATATCTATCGTGGAAAAAACAGAATTTCAAAGTATATCACCAACAGAAACATCCAAACATACAAAAGTACGAAATAAAATCACAGTATTTTCAACATTTCTACATATAATTTGCAAAAATTTTACTAAAGAAGATGTTTCACAAAACACTAAACACGATTTACAAAAAATTTTAGCATGGTTTATAATAGATTATTTCACCCACAATTTAGATTTAATTTCACAAGCAAGAAAAAATTTCAGACCTCAAAATACCAATGATGACACTGTTCTTTCAGAACAATCATATTACGTTTGGGACCCTGACTGGTCTCATCCAGCATTTCTAAATATCCCACAAGCTATCTCGAGTCAAGCAATAAGTACAATATCTTTTCACAGAGATTATGTAAAAGTAGTACCATTAACCATTGATGCAACACCATTGAATTATAATACATTTTTACCTGATACACGAAATAACAGCTTAAATTCAACAATCATTCATAATAAAAACCTCAATGGAACCAGAAATCTTACACAACAAGATATTCAAACACCATCACACTTCATAAATGAAGAAATCGTCCAAACAACAGCAACAACTACACAACAGAGTATTTCACCAATACACCCCAATCTGACAACACCAAGAAATACAAATACATCACTAACACAGGTAACCTTACAATCAACCGTTAAAACTTCGGTTGCTCCAAAATAATCACATATGGACTATCAAACGTATTGACCAATGACAATACCGTCAAAAACACGAAAACCGTTCACAAGAAACACTTTTGCAGAACTTAATTATAATTATGCTCACCAACCAAGAACAAACCAACCTCCCCGAAAAATACACAAAGTTTAAATCACATATGTTCCCATTATTGGAATTTCCCAAAAACATCGACCAAATCAGTAAATTTTTCAGATAATCCACAACCTACACAGGATTATAATGAAAATTACCCATTTTTTCAGAATAAAAATAAACAACATACACCATATAACATAAACTA